TCTAGGGCAGCGATATTCAGAAAAGAGTGGCCCTCGGGGATACCTACTGGCCGCCTGGCGTCTACGGCTGTTTGCTTCTTCTTCGGCACAGCCTTGGCCCTCTTCTTCTTCCCGGCGGACACCCTGAGAGGTGTCGGGTTCAAAGGCCGAGAGGTGTTGGCTTCACCAGCGTTACGTACAAGGAGGATGGCAACGGTAACTGCATCGCGATGGCCATCTCCTCGTCTTCCTCTATCTGCTCAAAGTCCTCAGCCTCGGCTTCAGCAATGAGATCTTTTTGGACTTCCATAGCAACGGCGGCATCACCGCTTACTGAAGGCTGTCCGCTAAAGGATTCCACATCCGAAATGCTTTCCACCTCTACCGAGGTCTCCCTCGAGATGTCTTGAGAGTCACTCGCAGATGACATCCTTGGTAAAGCGTTCAAAAGGTCCGAGGAAAGAAATTCTCCTAAGGATTGTTAACGCTAGATCTAAGGCCGGAAAGCAAAGTATACTAAGGGAGCAAAGAAGGGAGCGAGAACTGACCTCACGAGTTAAGGTTTGATCGAAAGGGAGTTTCTCTCACTAGAAATATTTCGGCAGAGCTTCGCTAACGGCAAAATCACACGGAGGTAAATGGACTCTGGCAAGGGATATTTATAGCCTGCCAAATCCGGGCTTGGGCCGAAATCTGGGCCCCCAGCTGCCAAAGCCATCATTACGAACCGCCGGTTCAGCCAACCGGTGACGCCCGCCCGCGGGGGGCCAACAAGCATGCGCCACGTGGAAGCCCTCTCCAACGGTCATATTCCAATGGCTATTTTTGAAAACACAGAGGTGCCCTCATCTCGCACCCCTCATACAACACTATGCATGCCTTCGGGCTAACTCCTTCAGACTCCTTCATCAAGGGGAGCCCCCAGCTTCACAACGGGAAAACCCCTCAGGAACCCTTAGCCCTCAACATGTTGAGAACCGGGGAGCCCCTTGGGAAAACACCTTCAAACCACTCATCGGTGGTTAGCCGCCGACATAAAATGACGGGACCCCTCGAGAGCCCTCAGCCTCCAACTTATCAAGGGCTACGGAACCCCCCTCGGCAACACAGGAGCTATCACCTATGTCAACACGCCCTCAGTCCTCAATGACTAGGGGACCCCCTCGGCATCCCCGAGATATCACCCAGGCGCCCTCGGGAAATCAAGCAAGCAAGCCCACAGATCACGGGTAGCCTTCGGCCTCAACACTATACTCAGACCAAGGGTTAACCTTTTCGATTCATCGTTGGGGGAACTCGGTGCACTCTTTTTCCCTCATTAGAATTTTTTCCCACATGTTTTTTTTCTAATGAGGTTTTTTAACGAGGCATCCCTCCAAAATGAAACGAAAAGCGTCAGCCCTCGGCCCCATACTGAAGACAGGCACTGCTTTACTCCTCTTCGCCATATTACATGTGCCTCAAGGAGTGGAGGACTAGAGGACCCCTCCGGGAAAAATCGCAAAATGTTAAATCGTCCCCAAGACATCAACATAATCCTTCAAATCCCGAAATGTGGGGGACTGGGGGACTGCCCTTGGCGAAACACGCAGACGAAGAACTCCTCGCAAACTTTACAACCTACAGCAAGGAAGCATCAGAGGACAAACACATTTACTCCTTTTCCCACAAGTACCTTTCGGCTAGACCTGCACAATTCCGGGCCGGCCCGCCCATATAAATGGGCGGGTTTGGACACATGCTTTAGCCCACTGGGCCCGGCCCGGCCCAGCCCGTTTAAAATATGGGCGGGCTTGGGTTGTAATATAGGCCCGGTCGGGCCTAAAAGCCCGGCCCGTAAACATATTATATATATTATTCTATATATAATTATACAGTATATGACTATACGTATAAAACTTAAAATACTTGGAAGTATAATTTCATTACCATGTCATTATTCACAAGTGTCATTATTTTCCATTATTTTTAACTTGTAAGGTTCCGCAAGTATGTTCAAGATCGGTGATGGACGTTCGAATGATAGTGAGGATGAAGAAGATGAAATGCTACTCTAGTGTAAGACAATGCTTCTCTTTCACAGATGGTAAGATTCATAAATCACAATATAGTAGTTTTCATTATCTCAATGTTTTTACTTTGTTTATAAATAATATTTGGTTTTCATTATTTGATATTTATTGGCACTTGGCAGAGCAGTCTGGGAGATCAATTACTTTCTGGTGAAATGAAGGAGTGTCGAGAAGTTCTTGGAATCTTGGGATACCAATTACTTTTTGTGTTCTACTATTTAAATTTGAACTGTAATGATATACATTTGTTAAGTCTTTTTGGAGATACTCTTGACTATTTCCGCTGCACATTGTGAATCTGTGATTGTGCTTTTAATTATGGAATATGGATGCTTATTTGGAATTTGGATGCTTTTTGTTTTCCAGAATCGTTTTGTTTATTGCATTTAAACGTATTCTTGTGTTCAAAATGTGTTGTGAGTACATTAATTATTTAATTGCATTTAAAATGTTATGATGTTATTTTATAAATGTTTTCATTTTTTTAATAGAGTTGACAAAAGGATATTTTCCGGGCCCAAAAGCCCGATGGGCAGCCCGGCCCGCTCTCATGGGCGGGCTTGGACATATGAGGAGGCCCGTTTTACTGGGCCAGGCCGAGCCCGCCCACTACAAGTGGGCAGATTTTTTAGAATAAGCCCGGCCCGAGCCTGGCCCGAGCCCGTGTTTATGCAGGTCTACTTTCAGCAAAAGGAGTGAGGGACTCCTGATGGAGTATATGGCCCAAGGACCCCCGGGGCCATATACTACCACTATTGCATTTAGGCCCAACAGGCCCAAAACGGGCCAAGCCCATCAGAATGAAGCTCTAAGCAACCCACAATACGCATATGGGGTGCCTTCGGCGCCATGGCCGAAGGCTACCGTTTACAGATTCGAGCTCAGAAACATCACAGGAGAACAAAGCTTGAAAACTAAGTCTATGATGCCTTCCTCACCAGAATATCATGAAGTTAACTGAACCCCTGAACCTCAAGAGAATATCCCCTCTGCTCTAGAAAAGGAATTTCTCAGGGTTCTGGCTTGGAGGAAGTGGAGAGTGGGATCTCTCTCTGAACTGCTCAGAATGCTCCCAAACTTTATACCTGAAGAAGCTGAAGTTCTGAAGTGGGATGGTACAGAGGATGTTGAGCAATGCCTCAACAAGGACTTCCTTCTATCTGTTCTAGCAGAGAAGAAAAAGAAGGAATGCAAAGGCAAAGGCAAGCACACTCATGACAATGAAGAAGAGCATGTCAAAGATCTGACAGAAGATGAGATGGCAGCCTTTGATGAATGGCTGATTGAAAAGAAGAGGAAAGAATCCCTCGTCAAATTCCGTCACAGTGCTCATGGAGAAGGGGAATCCTCCACTGCCAATGATCTCCCCCTGGCCATGGAGAAGCTCATCAAAGAATGGAGGGACTCACCATTCACAGAAACCATACTTGAGGTACTCTCTAAATCTCCCTCTATTCATACAGAACCTCATTTTCCTTCTCCTCCCATATCACCTCCTAAACCTCAACCCTCACCCAGAATCCCAACTCCTTTTGCCACTCCACCCCAATCTCCTAACCAAAAATCCCCATCCCCACAGAAATCCCCATCCCCACAGAAATCCCTCCCACCACAGAAAACAACTCCTCCACAGAATGCCCCCTCACCCCCACCCCAGAAAACTCCTTCTGTCAAATCCAAATCTTTTTCCCCTTGTAAACCAACACCTTCTAACAGAAATCGTTCTCCTTCACCTCCACCATCTCCTCCACAACAGAAAATCCCTTCTCCCCAACCAACACCCCAACACCAGAAAACCCCCTCAACTCATATATCCCCTACTCCACCTCAACAGAAGTCACCCTCTCCTGCAGCAAATTCTCCCAGAACTTCTATGCATTCTGCCGCATCTACTCCCAAGAGACAGCCTCTACACCGTATCCTTTCTTCTGATAGTGAGAATGATGGTTTCCTTCCATCCTCCCTTGCTGGAGATCTCACCTCCAAACGACAACCAACTCCTGCCAGAGAACCTTCCCCTCATAAACCTTCTCTGCAACAAACCAGAAGGCCCCCTATGCACAGGTTAATCCCGAGGGGGGAGCCAACAACTTATACCATTGCCTCCCGACAGGCCAAGCCTTACGAAGAAACCAAGTTTCTTGAAGCCTTCCCTTCACTATCCAAAAAAAGGGGAGTAAAGGGGAGTAGACTCAACGAGCAATCAATGAGTGCAAGATTCAATACTCCACGACACAACATCCTTCGGCAGATTGCAAGAAAGGACACTACGAAGGCAATCCCTATCACATTGAGGGCTCTTAATCCCGAATTTCACTCTTTACATTTGCATTATCCCGAAGGCTCTCGCTATGCAGCACTCTCCATCAAAGCATGGGCCTAAGGCATGTGCCTTTTCTATGACATGATTGGACTACAAAGCTTCCTAACTCCACACTTTGGGAAACCAACAAAGCCGAAGGCTCACATGTTTGAGGAGAATCGAGGGCACCTGCAAGGATCGAGATCAAAGTTCCCAAGTACACACTCCGGTAGCCTCCGACACCACAATCAACACCGGAGGCTCAAATCGTAGAAGGGGTCCAAAGGAAATTATCTTGAGTCCACGTCGCCAGACCCCCCGAGAGATCAAGACGATGACTACATATGTCATACAGCTGGAAGGGATATGAACCGAAGGCCACGTGATGCTCAGTGGTAAAAATGATTGCCCCTCGGTCAACTCAACATACAACCGAAGGCTCAGTGGTAAAACTACACTTAGAATTTTTTTCTAAATGTTCGGCCCTCGGCCAACTCACCATACAAACATACATACACGAAGGAAAAAAGGCAGTAAGGAAACGAAGGCATTTATACATAAAAAGAGACGAACTCAACATTAAAGGCCCGAAGGCACCCATTCATCCATTCACAAAAAATAAAAGTAAATTGTTTACAAGGACCGAAGCCAGAGCTGAAAATGTCATTACAAAGCATTGATCAGGAAATTTCTTAAGTACAAGTGGCAGTGTCTTCCTCGGAAGCAATGCAGGTAGCACCACCCTCGCCTTCATCTTCATCGCCACCAAAGCCGCATTCCCTCAAGGTTTTGGAGTCTTCAAGCACCGGCCTCTTTTCACCCGGAGGAAGGGGGCCCTGACGTCTGGTTGCCGAGGGGGGAAGGCCATAGGCCTCCGGCTTAAAGTCTTCCAGGGACACATTGAAGTATTGGGCCAGCTTCCGGTAGATGAGAAGTTGGGTGAAGAACTCTCCACCTTGATAATAGGATTCACCCTTCTCAGCAAGCCACATTTTGTCGGGGCCTCCGACCCAGGCATCCACTGAAGCCTGTAAGGAATATTTGTAATTAGATTTTGATGATGCTATACTAATTAGGACTTTAGAGTACCCCTCTTTAGATTTAATGTATTAGAATTTTCCTTGTAAAGTTCCTTAGTATAATCGACTGATAGAAGGCCTCCTGAGCAGAAGACCTCCTGACAGAAGACCTTTGGTTCTCGGCTCCAGAACAGAAGACCGCAGGGTCTCTGTTAGCCCTTACTTTGACAGAAACCCTCCTGGTTCTCTGTTGGATATCTCTTCAACAGAAACCCTCAAGGGTCTCTGTATCTTTCTCCAACAGAAGTGCTCAAGACCTTCTCTGATCAACTCTCTGCTGAAGACACCAGAAGGCCTGGCACTTAGAAGAATTTCACCAAACCGGTAAACCAACTGAAAGATTCCTTCAACGGCTAGGAGTCTTGAATGGAAAAGCTACAGTACGCGCATTAAATGCACATTTAATGCCTCCCGTACTTTGTAGAGTAATTGCAGATGATTGGCCGCAATGTCAGGATAACTTTATCCCGAAATAGTAACCCGCCAACTTTGCTGGATCCTACTGGTCAAGTCAATTGCTTGCTCATTTAATGCAGTTGTCCTCCTTCTCCTCCAACGGGAAGACAACCTCAGTATAAAATATACACTTCGAAGAACAACGGATAACTTTGCTACAACTTTTGCGCATACAAAATATTCAAACGCTAAAAACGCAAAAAGCCTCCTTGAGATTAAATCTTCATTATCTTCTACAAGAGAAGGCAGACGTTGGAAAGATCCTTACTTCCAACTCAAGCAAAGTTCTGAGCGTTCTTCAACTCTTCAAGCACTTCATATACAAATCTTTTGTAACGAAGCAAGTTGGAGGAACCCCTGTTTTCAACAAAAACTCTTCTTTCACAAGAAGGCATTCAAGTACCTGGAGCAGTGAAGTGGTGATACTTCCGGGAAAGCTCAGTGAAAGGACCAGTCTTAAGGAAGCCAGAAGTGCATCTAAGGAGACATCTACACTTGAAGAAGACGTGGAGAGCTTCTTAAGTGATAGGGCTAAGGGGTTGTAAACGGTCGTTTTTACAAGCTTAGTGGAATAGTGGACTAGAGGAACAAGTTGTTCCTTGAACCACTCTAAAAAGCCCTGGTGTCATTTACTTACTGCATTTTACTTATAGTTTTTATTTGAACTGTTTAACTTCAAAGACTTGGTATCTGTGTTCAGCAGAACTTGTCTTGTGAGTTAACAGAAGGCCTACTGTCTTTACTTCTCTGAGGCTAAACTAACAGAACTCCCTTCCAGAACCCCATCCGCTGCCAGTCTGTTCTGCCGACAGAACAGGCTATTCTGTTAAATCTGGTACTTAGCTTGAAAAAGTTAAAAACCAATACAGTCTATTCACCTCCCCCCCCCTCTAGACTGTATCCAGTACAACCGGGACCAACAAAGCCTCCACCACCGAGGCCAGCCACTTCTTGTGCCCCTCTGCCTTCCACCCCTCGGCACCAAAAGCGGCTACAGCATCTTCTCGGGCCTTGGTGACGGCCTCTTCTTTAGCTGCATGTGCCTCATCGGCAGCCTTCCTTGCGGCTTCAGCAGCTGCATCCATGGCCTCGGCCAAGCCCTCATTCCTACCTTCGGTCTTGGCAGCCTGGACCCGCTGCTCCATGCTCTCGGTAGCCTTTCGGAGGGAGTCTTCGACCTGAGCCAGCTTCTTTCTGAGGTTGACAGCCTCCGCATCAGCAGCAACCTTGGCCTCCCTCATCTGCTCCACCCTCCAGAGGTACTCACAGAGGCCCATGAAGTTCTGCAGTGATCAAGGACGATGGTTAGACACATTGCATACGTTATCTAAAGACAAGAATAAATGCAGAGGGAAGGAAAGTGTGACTCACGGAGGCGCTACTCAGAAGAATCTTGGACTCAATGGCGCTTTCATCCATCCTGGTGAGGGCCAGCCTATCAGCCGAGGGCATCATCTGGCACATAAGCACCGAAGGATCGAGGCTACCATCACGGAGGACGGCTACTTGCCGGAGTCCCCAGCTTTCTGCTTCTTAGTCGGGGGCTCAACCACCTTGCCGCCTTTCTTCTTCTTTAGGGCCCCATCGCCCTGTGAATTCCCGGCTCCGCACCGACGGTAGCACCTCTGGAAGGCTCCTCCCTCCCTTTTTGGAAAAGGGTGTCGACCGGCTTCTGACCCGAGGAGTCCTTCTTCTTCCCCTTTTGTTTCTTCAACGCAAAGAGGGAGTTTACGTCCATGTTACTACCTGCAGAAAACATGCCGAGTATGAGAACGAAGGGGTCAAGAAAAAACATATATGAATCACAAAAAAATTATCTAAGTACAAAACGCAGAACCCTTCGGGATTCACCTCTGACACTTTCGTAGACGCGATCTATGGGGGGTATCTCTCATCTTCCTCCCCCACCAGCCTATATCAACGGAAGCCCAACTTGAATCATTCGTCCGGGATGGTGACCTCCTTAATGGCAATGTGCTTGTCCGACCCCTCCGGCTTTTTGGAAAGCTTCCTTGTTGGGCCGCGGGTATGCGGTGCCAGCAACAGCCAGCCTGCCGGTGCAATCGGACCGCGTGGCGCTTCACTTGTGCTATAAAGGGGGAGGAGCGTGCTTCACTATCAGCGATTGCTTTTAGTGTAGCGGTAAGCGCAACGATCCACAAGTGGTATCAGAGCCAAGGTCACGGGTTCGACCCCCGGCAACAGCATACTGCGCAGTTGTAGGCTGGCAGGTGCTGGGGGGGAGATTGTTGGGCCGCGGGTATGCGGTGCCAGCAACAGCCAGCCTGCCGGTGCAATCGGACCGCGTGGCGCTTCGCTTGTGCTATAAAGGGGGAGGAGCGTGCTTCACTATCAGCGATTGCTTTTAGTGTAGCGGTAAGCGCAACGATCCACATTCCTTCCATTCTTCTCGAGGGCTGCGCCCTCTACCTTCGGGTGACGCCGAAAGCTATTGCGAAGCGGGGCCGTAAAGAGGTTCTCCGCCAAACGGATGTAGCAGAATTTGTCCTTCCATCCCTTGTGGGACGAAGGCAAATCATCAAAAAGCCTGAACCCCGGAACCTGCTGCAAGTTGCCGAAGCCTTCTGCGTTCGAATGCCCCCCCCCCATCATAGGTTGAAGGACAGAAAAAAATAGTCGAGGGTAGGTGGGACCCCTCGGCTCTAGCAAAGAGAGAGAAAACCGGCCACATAAGAGTGGTTGTTGGGCGTTAGCTGACAGGGGGCAGCCCCACGAACCTGAGGTACTCCAACAGGAAAGGGTGAAGCAGAAACCGGAGCCCCATCTCCACTGATAAAGTATGGACGGCGAAGCAGCCCTCGGGTGCGTACCGTAACAAATCATCTGGCCCTGGTTCCACCACGCGTGCCGAAAGGCCGGCAAGAATTTATGTGGCCTGACATTCGGCCGGGGATGCCCTCGTCTTCAACTCTAGGGCAGCGGTATTCAGAAAAGAGTGGCCCTCGGGGATACCTACTGGCCGCCTGGCGTCTACGGCTGTTTGCTTCTTCTTCGGCACAGCCTTGGCCCTCTTCTTCTTCCCGGCGGACACCCTGAGAGGCGTCGGGTTCAAAGGCCGAGAGGTGTTGGCTTCACCAGCGTTACGTACAAGGAGGATGGCAACGGTAACTGCATCGCGATGGCCATCTCCTCGTCTTCCTCTATCTGCTCAAAGTCCTCAGCCTCGGCTTCAGCAATGAGATCTTTTTGGACTTCCATAGCAACGGCGGCATCACCGCTTACTGAAGGCTGTCCGCTAAAGGATTCCACATCCGAAATGCTTTCCACCTCTACCGAGGTCTCCCTCGAGATGTCTTGAGAGTCACTCGCAGATGACATCCTTGGTAAAGCGTTCAAAAGGTCCGAGGAAAGAAATTCTCCTAAGGATTGTTAACGCTAGATCTAAGGCCGGAAAGCAAAGTATACTAAGGGAGCAAAGAAGGGAGCGAGAACTGACCTCACGAGTTAAGGTTTGATCGAAAGGGAGTTTCTCTCACTAGAAATATTTCGGCAGAGCTTCGCTAACGGCAAAATCACACGGAGGTAAATGGACTCTGGCAAGGGATATTTATAGCCTGCCAAATCCGGGCTTGGGCCGAAATCTGGGCCCCCAGCTGCCAAAGCCATCATTACGAACCGCCGGTTCAGCCAACCGGTGACGCCCGCCCGCGGGGGGCCAACAAGCATGCGCCACGTGGAAGCCCTCTCCAACGGTCATATTCCAATGGCTATTTTTGAAAACACAGAGGTGCCCTCATCTCGCACCCCTCATACAACACTATGCATGCCTTCGGGCTAACTCCTTCAGACTCCTTCATCAAGGGGAGCCCCCAGCTTCACAACGGGAAAACCCCTCAGGAACCCTTAGCCCTCAACATGTTGAGAACCGGGGAGCCCCTTGGGAAAACACCTTCAAACCACTCATCGGTGGTTAGCCGCCGACATAAAATGACGGGACCCCTCGAGAGCCCTCAGCCTCCAACTTATCAAGGGCTACGGAACCCCCCTCGGCAACACAGGAGCTATCACCTATGTCAACACGCCCTCAGTCCTCAATGACTAGGGGACCCCCTCGGCATCCCCGAGATATCACCCAGGCGCCCTCGGGAAATCAAGCAAGCAAGCCCACAGATCACGGGTAGCCTTCGGCCTCAACACTATACTCAGACCAAGGGTTAACCTTTTCGATTCATCGTTGGGGGAACTCGGTGCACTCTTTTTCCCTCATTAGAATTTTTTCCCACATGTTTTTTTTCTAATGAGGTTTTTTAACGAGGCATCCCTCCAAAATGAAACGAAAAGCGTCAGCCCTCGGCCCCATACTGAAGACAGGCACTGCTTTACTCCTCTTCGCCATATTACATGTGCCTCAAGGAGTGGAGGACTAGAGGACCCCTCCGGGAAAAATCGCAAAATGTTAAATCGTCCCCAAGACATCAACATAATCCTTCAAATCCCGAAATGTGGGGGACTGGGGGACTGCCCTTGGCGAAACACGCAGACGAAGAACTCCTCGCAAACTTTACAACCTACAGCAAGGAAGCATCAGAGGACAAACACATTTACTCCTTTTCCCACAAGTACCTTTCGGCTAGACCTGCACAATTCCGGGCCGGCCCGCCCATATAAATGGGCGGGTTTGGACACATGCTTTAGCCCACTGGGCCCGGCCCGGCCCAGCCCGTTTAAAATATGGGCGGGCTTGGGTTGTAATATAGGCCCGGTCGGGCCTAAAAGCCCGGCCCGTAAACATATTATATATATTATTCTATATATAATTATACAGTATATGACTATACGTATAAAACTTAAAATACTTGGAAGTATAATTTCATTACCATGTCATTATTCACAAGTGTCATTATTTTCCATTATTTTTAACTTGTAAGGTTCCGCAAGTATGTTCAAGATCGGTGATGGACGTTCGAATGATAGTGAGGATGAAGAAGATGAAATGCTACTCTAGTGTAAGACAATGCTTCTCTTTCACAGATGGTAAGATTCATAAATCACAATATAGTAGTTTTCATTATCTCAATGTTTTTACTTTGTTTATAAATAATATTTGGTTTTCATTATTTGATATTTATTGGCACTTGGCAGAGCAGTCTGGGAGATCAATTACTTTCTGGTGAAATGAAGGAGTGTCGAGAAGTTCTTGGAATCTTGGGATACCAATTACTTTTTGTGTTCTACTATTTAAATTTGAACTGTAATGATATACATTTGTTAAGTCTTTTTGGAGATACTCTTGACTATTTCCGCTGCACATTGTGAATCTGTGATTGTGCTTTTAATTATGGAATATGGATGCTTATTTGGAATTTGGATGCTTTTTGTTTTCCAGAATCGTTTTGTTTATTGCATTTAAACGTATTCTTGTGTTCAAAATGTGTTGTGAGTACATTAATTATTTAATTGCATTTAAAATGTTATGATGTTATTTTATAAATGTTTTCATTTTTTTAATAGAGTTGACAAAAGGATATTTTCCGGGCCCAAAAGCCCGATGGGCAGCCCGGCCCGCTCTCATGGGCGGGCTTGGACATATGAGGAGGCCCGTTTTACTGGGCCAGGCCGAGCCCGCCCACTACAAGTGGGCAGATTTTTTAGAATAAGCCCGGCCCGAGCCTGGCCCGAGCCCGTGTTTATGCAGGTCTACTTTCGGCAAAAGGAGTGAGGGACTCCTGATGGAGTATATGGCCCAAGGACCCCCGGGGCCATATACTACCACTATTGCATTTAGGCCCAACAGGCCCAAAACGGGCCAAGCCCATCAGAATGAAGCTCTAAGCAGCCCACAATACGCATATGGGGTGCCTTCGGCGCCATGGCCGAAGGCTACCGTTTACAGATTCGAGCTCAGAAACATCACAGGAGAACAAAGCTTGAAAACTAAGCCTTCGGCACTTGGGGCCCTCGGTACTAGGAGGCCCCCGATACGGAGAGCCTTCGGCTTGTCATCTACAGCCGAATGCATCTTCATCGACAGAATATCCTCCCCACATGCGCCTGAATCACCGTACCAAGTACGACGTCACATCCGACCACCGCATTTAATGCGGCCACATGCGAGTGTCGGTGCCACCCCGATTGAGGTGACCCTCGTCCGTCGGATGCTTGACACGTGTCCCTGTCTAGCATTTATTACTACTATAAATAGCTGCCCTTTTCCCCTTTGTAATAGACAACTTGAATACCCATTCTATATTCGAACTCTTTATCTCTCTTACTTGTTTGCTCTGACTTCTCTTTACGTTACTCCCGCAGTAACCCCCCGGATAAGCTACCCCCCGGGTACATTATCCATCAGCATCATTATTGGTTTTGTCAGAATTAGAAGACTCAGAAAAAGGATTAACCGAAGATTGGAGACATCTTTGAGATTCTTCTTGTAAGAAGATAGAGTAGACATTTGATAGAGTGACTTTTTCAGTATTATGAAGAATTTGACTACGCAAATGAGCATAAGAATCATTCAGACCCTGCAACAAGAAATTTTAGAATAGACTCTTTTTGGAGTAACTTCTGGTAAGTTTCAGAAATATTGCAAGTGCAATGACCACAAGTACAAGAAGGAATGGCTCTGAATTCAGAATATTCATCCCAAAGTTCTTCGAAGGAATTATAATAATTAGTAATATTTCGAGAACCTTGAGAAAGATTACCTAGAGATTTTTCGAGTTCAAAAAGTCTAGGTCCATCACTTTTACCATACCTAAGTTGAACTTCATCCCAAAGTTCTTTAGCATTGGTAAAGTAAAGAAAAGTATTGCGAATAGTAGGAGAAATAGAATAGAGTGACCAAGACAATAGAAGAGCGTTGATACGATACCAAGTAAAGTAGAGAGCAACGTCTGAGTTTGGTTGTTTGACAGATCCGTCGAGGAAGCCCATTTTGTTCTTCACCGCCATAGCCATAGAAACTGACTTCTTGCAAACACCAAAGTTTTCGCCTGTGAGAGTTTTGTGGATGATGTGCATGCCAGCGTGATCGCTCGGATGAAGGTAATAAGGAGACGAAGGATCTTCGAGGGGATTTAGCGGTAGAGCCATGAAATCTAGGGTTTTTGTGAAGTAATCGATTAAGAGTGCAACCGATTGAAGCACTAGAATCGATTATAGAAATCGATTGAGGAAGAAGAATCAAAAGAAAAATCAGTAAGGATCGATGCCTTAATCTGATACCATGTGAATTTCTGTATCTGTGGGATGAAGAATGCGGAAGCATTAATCGAGAGCAGAGAGGATGAAGAAGATAAAAAATGAATCGGAAGTATTCAGATTAGGGTTCTACAATTGTATTTATACTAAAGGGTTAAAAATATTCTAATAGAAGATATAAGATGGGCTAATATACAAAGGCCCAACAAACAATAAAAAGATCCAGTTTAATATTCTTTAGAAACATTAAAATCTCAATAAAGTTGTAAAATCCAAAATTAAAATTTAATTAAGAATTGATTTCATAATTAAGTGAATAAAATGAATCTATTTGACTCATTTTGATGGAGACGAAGGAACTATATATTAATTTGTAGTCTTGATGACATCTGATGGGTCCAAAAGAGCCTAATGAAAGTGTGTTGGGTTACATTGAAATTTTGATAGTGAATAACAAAGAACACATTAATAATGATGTGGTATATATGTACGTTGTAGTTGGCTAGAGACAAATACCAACCACATTAATTATAGCAGTAACAAATAGGGGTGAATCTACATTAGACTATGGTGAGCTGAGGTGAAGTTGAGTGTAACTTCAATTTTTCCATTTTAGACTTTGGTGAGCTGAAGTTGAATGCAACTTGAATTTTTCCATTTTCATATTTCACTCCATGTTGAGTTTAAGCCTAATATAATTACCTAGGGAAGGCCAACCAAGGGTCGGTTCACTCTAAATTTAAAAAATATCTCTATTTTCAGTGCATGTAAAGCATCTCTATAATTTTTTCCCAAAAAGATTTTTTGTACTCCGGTGACCTGGCTCCACGCATGGATGTATATATAGATGGCTGCGGCATTTAGAATAATATAATACTCCATCCTCTTAGTACTCCTAGACAAATAGCTAAGCTAGCTCAGTTAGTATAGTAATGGTGGTTTCTAATTCAAGAATACCAGATCAAAAGCCGCATGCGGTATTAGTATGTTTTCCTCTACAAGGCCACGTGAATCCGTCCGTCCATTTGGCATGCAGGCTGGCTGAGGAAGGGTTCACCATCACCTTCATCAACACCCAATCCGTACACCGCCACCTCACCAAGAGCAACAAAAAGGACGGCGACGACGGTGACATCTTCTCCGGCAGCCGCAAACAGGGCCTCGACATCCGTTACGTCACCATTCCCGACGGCCTTCCGGTGGAGTGGGACCGGTCGGGGAACAATGACCAGTTCATGGCTGCCCTTTTGCATGTTTATTCTGCCCACGTGGAGGAAGCGCTGAAGGGTATCTTGAAGTCAACGCCGCCAGTCAACTGCTTGATCGCCGACACTTTCTTTGTGTTCCCTGGGAAACTGGCCAAGAAATATAATCTGATCTATATATCTTTCTGGACCGAACCGGCTTTGGTTTTTACTCTTTACTATCACCTCCATCTCTTGCGGCTAAATGGCCATTATGGTTGTCCAGGTGCGTCCGGCCTGTTTTCTTCCCTTTTCTCAAACTTTTGCTCAATTTTATACCGAGTATTTAAATAAAATTAATAGCCTTAATAGAAACTAAAATATACAACTTTTCTCTAAATAAGAGTTTAAATAAAAGTAATAGCCTTGATAGAAGTCAATATTAATTTTCTCTCTTTAATATCTCTAATTTAATAAATTACTCGTAATATTCTACCATTGGATAATCGGGTTACTCCGTTGGTGGTGAGTGGGTCCGGTGGTAATGACGGCGGCTGGCAGCGGCGCCAACATCCGATCAGTCATCTGCATCAGGTCTAGCGGCGGTAGCCAGCAACAACTCTGGCAGTAGTGGTACGTGGTTGGCCCAAAGCGCTGCAATGGTTGAAAAATACTCCAATTTGGGGAACTTTCAAACTTCAATGTTAAAACGTTAACGGTGCATAACGTTAACGGTGCATATGTAGCATGATAAATAATCAATTAAAACACAATAAATAGAATATCTCTCTCCTTATTTGAAGGATCTTACATCATTTTGGAAAATTTTTGTTCACAATGTCTAGATGTAGACATTTTGGTTGACATTATAGAGAAAAACTTACCAAAAACACATAAGATCATGGAAAGAATGAGAGAAAAATGTTATAAAATCAATATTTTATGTCTATCTCTTTCATGTCACATGTGCACCGTGCACATTATAACATTGGAGATGCTCTCATATTTCTACACTTCTCTCATGTTTTACTCCTATCATCTCTTTAATTAATTACCGTGAAACACATATATGTAGTACTTTTTCCCCCTAAATAGGAGTCCACGCTAAATATTCTCTAAATAGAATGACACATTAACTTTCTACCTCTAATAATTATTAATTAATACTAGTACTCCGTATAACTTATTGCCCCCTACTTCACTTCCAAAATCGGGTCGATGGTGGTGGTGGCGACGGTGGTAGGCTGGTGGCGGGTGAATTTTAGAGATTTTCGACGGTGGTGTGGTGGACTCTCATAGCCAGCGGTCGGAAGCGCACTACTACATTTTTAGACCTAACGTAACATTAAAGATGTAACATATCTATAAAAGTGTTACATATTTTTCTAATGTAACACTGTTTAGACCTAGTGTAACACTTTCTAGAAGTATTAGTGTTTCGTTGGGTACTATAAAGTGTTACAATAGGTCAAATGCAACATGAGCAAATGTAATGGTAAAAAAGTGTTACATTTTCTCTAATGTAACACTTTTTCAGTGATATTGTAATACATTTGCGCGGCAGCGTTCACTGGTAGCGGCAGATCAAACGGCGACAAAATTTTGACAGTGGCTGCGCCTGGTGGCGGCACTGGTGATCCCACTACAAAAAAACATGGGATTGGTAGGGATTTTGGCAGGAATTTGGCAGAGATTTTGGTAGGGATATGCCAATTTCGTTTCAAAAACACTTTGGCACGAGCTATTTGGCACAAAAATTTGATAAACTCGTGCCAAATTACGTGCCAATTCCGTAATTTTTTTGCAGTGGTTGGCGGTTCCTGCGGTAGTGTGGTGGCTGGCCCAACCTTTCTGGGGTATCCTTTTCCAAGCATGAGAAAAGATTCTGACTTGGGAGAATTTAAAACCATACACCTATTTTTACACTTCTTTAATAAAGAAAATGACACCTCATCCCTCAGGATCCCCCACACCGATCGGACGGTACGTTGAGAGGGTGTAAATTGGACTATAATCACAATCTGACAGATAGAGAGTGGGGCTATGTCCCCACTACTTGTAAGGGCTCTATGCATTTTTAGCATAGTAACCTCTCATCGCAGTTGCCGGGATTCGAATACGGGATCTAATCCTTATGGCACTCTCTCACTACCAGTTGAGCTACGCTAACCGTTACACTTCTTTAATATTGTTATCGGAATTAGCTCTTTATATTTTAGGAATTTTCTACATGGTATCTTGTGAGTTACGAGACTATATGGAGTAAATTTAGGGAAGGAAGTACATTGGATTGAACTGGTCTAATGCCTTTTTGGATATTTTTACATACATTTTTCCTCTAATAATTTAAAGAAAAATAAAACATGGAGTAAAATTCTAGGCACGACCCCCCTGCATGTGATTAAGTCTCTGTAATAATGTTATGCACGCATGTGCTCCAATCATTCATGAAATGTTGGCAAATTTTCAAAATACGAGTAAAATTTTGAATTCTAATATAAAAGTGATCATATTTTTATTTTCAAAATAGCGAGATAATTATTGTCTTGTTGGAAAATAGTATCACTTTAAAGTATAATAATGTCAAAATATGGTAATAATTATTTCTATTTATGAAATTTAGGGAATAAAAATATTATAGGCTTTTTAAGAATTGACAACCGTTTTTACTCCTTTTTAATTAGGACAATTTTTTTAAATATTCCAAATACTTTTATGGATGTAACTGATTTTTAACATATTTTCACATGTAAAATATATGTTTTTTATTTCAAGATTGGGATACAATTCAACTCGTTATGTCCACGGTGTGTAACTATTAAGACACGACGGTTGCCTCCTAAAAAATCAATTCGAAAACCCTTATATTATGACCGCAATTTATACCCTGTGATCGGCGCATCATGAGAATGGTCAACCTCATCCCAAAATGACGCAGCATTCACTATTTTTTTTTCTTTTATTGTTAAAACTTGTAATAACTTTTTTATTTGATATCCGATTTTTATAAATTTTATATTAAATTTTTTTATTTTTCATGATCTATCAAATGAGATCAATATTGCTTATGTAATTTTAACAAATTATTTTGAAGTTACATTTGATAATATATCATAAAGTTACATCTTCTTCTGCGCGAGTTACATCTTATTGTACACGAGTTACATCTTAATATACACGAGTTACATCTTAATGTATGTGAGTTACACCATGAAATAAACCCCTGCTACATCTTTCATTTTTATCATTTGAAAAATAGTGTATGAATATGAAATACAATATACTTATTTTATGTTGATTAATAAAATTTTGTATTAAATTGGCAAAGAAAAAAATTAATTCAGTTAATTGAATTAGTTCAAGATAAAGATAAGTAAAAAATCACAAATAATTAGATATAACTCACACATAATTACATGTAACTCGCGCATAAAAGTATGTAACTCGTGTATAACAAGATGTAACTCACACATAACAAGATGTAACTCACACATAATTACATGTAACTCTCGCATAAAAGTATGTAACTCGTGTATAGCAAGATGTAACACACAAATAACAAGATGTAACTCACACATAATAACTTGTAACTGGAGTATAAGATGATGTAACTTCGTATATTATCAAATGTAACTCCAAGCTAGAAGCAAAATAAACAAACTCAATATCTTAAAAACCTCTAAAACATATAAAAGTGATAAAAAAAATATATTATAGAAAAAGTGTATGCATATAAAAATATATTACAAAAAAAAGTATGAATGTAAAAAATTAAAATTACATAGGCAATATTGGTCTCATTTGAAAGATCACGAAAAATAAAAAAAAAATTGGTATAAATTTTATAAAAATCGGATCAAAAATAAAAAAAATTATTAACAATTTTAAAAAAATGAGAAATAAAAAATAACAAAGGGTGCATGGTGCTCACCATGCACCGGTACCACGGTATAAGCACTGGATTATGACCATACACTTCATTTATTTTCCATACTCGTCGTCACTTTTAATTTCTTTGGGTGACAAGATCGGATTTTGACTACGATATTCCCCGTCACACAAAATTTAACTAAAATATAAATCAAAAATCATGCATTTGAGATTTTTATAAAGGAGAGCAAAATAATTTTAACCATATATTACAATAAATAGAAATGATAATATTTTTTAAGACACTTAAAATAGGACTTTTTTTGAATATTAGGAAAATTTGATAATGTTTTTTGAAACAAGGAAGTAGCTACTTATTAAATGATAGGATGATCAATTCATCACTAAATTATTTTCATTACAATGGTCACCAAAGTAGGTGGTTGTTTACAAGCGACATAATTTGCCAACATAATTTAATTTGGTCATTGAATAAATTCTGTTATTTAAACTCATCTAGAAGGTACTCAATTACATACAAGGAGATAGTCACTGGATCACTCACTAGCATGGGACAATAAGAGGACAAAGCTTGCAAATTTTAAAATTTGCGACTAAATTCTCTTTTTCTTTATAATTGTTTTTTCTAATTTTGGTATGGGGCTTACGGTCTCATAATATTGAAGTCTATCAACTATCCTCAAAGCCTTTGGACAGCTTCGTCATGATTTACTTTAAAGAACGAATTAAGTAGGACTTACATTATGTGTCTCTTTCAGACTGTTTCTCCCACCACACGAGCATGTTAACTCTATTACTATAATCTCCCTTCTAAGCCGTCGAACTACTCTATGAAGGTAGGGAGAATCATGGAGAACAAAATCTCTCTTATGTAGGAATTGTAATCAAGACCTTTCACTAAGGAGAGCCTTGGGTGAGTGATCACCAATTGACCTACACCAACCTTCCCATTTGCAATTAAATTCTTACACTCCGTATAAATCACTCATAGATTTGCAATTTTAGTTCTGTAACTTTCGAATGTTTTCATTATTAGCATCGTAATTTTAGTCACTTGCAAGTTTGGTCTTGTAACTAATACTCCCTCCGTCCCACAAAACTTGGCCAAAGTTGACTTGAATGTAGATTAATAAAGTAAAAATTGTGTGGTTCAAATTTGTGTAAAGAATAAAGAAATAACTTGTACCATATATTGCTCACTTTAAATGAAAATAGCAAAGTTTATTGGAACGGCTAAAAAGGAAAATTTGGCCAAGTTTTATGGGATGGAGGGAATAACTTTTTGCGATTTAAAGACTTTCCCCCAAAAAGTACACTTTCCGCAATAAAATTAATTTTTGGCGGCATCTTTTTTGGGACTAAATCGCAAAGATTTATTAGTTACAGGACCAAACTTACAAGTGACTAAAGTTAGGGGACTAATAATGAAAAAACGTAAAATTACGGTCATGTCTTTAAGGACCAATCTCAGAGGTATTTGTTTAAGAAATGTTTGGAATTGATTCTGCTTTTGTTTTTGTTTCTTTTTTAAAAGTAAAAAAGAAACACTTTAATATTATGATATCTCCATCTTCTAAAAAAATATTTCTAGGAGAAATATGCAACATCAAAAGTAATTCTACACTTTCACCCAAACACACTAATACTATGTACTACGTGTATGATTTTGCTCCCTAAAAGAAACAATAATTTTAAGAATCAGATCCAAACATCCTTAATTTACCTATCATTATTATGTAAAGAAGTTGCACCGTGTATACTTTAAAAAAACGATTATATACTTATAATGATGTTAATATGTGAATGTGACATGACATAATTTGTCATTATTTTTCAAATGGTTCAACATGCCATGTGGGCATCGGTTACAACTTACAAGTGACTTGAATCACTTGATGATGACCCATGCAAATAGTACACTTACATCATTTTGGTCTAGGTCGTACAGTATACACCTCTCTTAAACGTAGGGAATCATGCTTGCAATACTTCTTTAACAATATACGTAGTATCAAATGCTCTACTTGATTCAATAACTATCATTTTTCATAAAGATGGTCAAATAAATTAGCAATCAAAGTTTTTTTTGGAGAAAATTAACAATCAAAGTTTTATTTGATGAGTTTAAACAAATTAAAACATGCACCACGAATATCTCAACGGTTGTTGAATGAGACAGTTGGATTGAGATCTCACGTTCAATGTTTGACAGCGACAACGTGAATGACAATGTGACATGACAATGTTGTGAGTATAACATTGTCATTAATGCCGTATGCAATTCCTTAAGTCCTACTGCCATCATATCATATTAATTACTACATCTTAATAATTTATTATGCTATAATAGTATAGTATTTTAATTAATTAAAATATACTATTAAAATATTAAACATAAATCCAGGGTTGTAACTTAGTAAAACATTTTTATATCATAAGGATTACTTGGCTAGATTCCTTGAATAGAAATTAGTGAGTTTATGTATATTTAATGATTGTATGATTTTATTATTTTATTATTTGTAAAAGGGAAAAAGACTTCAATAGGAGTAAAACAATGCCTATGTATGTAAATAGGATCCGAAACTTTTTATACTTTAAATATGACCAATTTTTAATGGAGGGACAAAAACACCCTTACCTTACAAATAATGCCCCCTGCACATGTTGCAGCAAATTAAACATACAGAGCATTAAATCACATCGCGGTAGAATAGATCCGGCAACTTCCGCCACCTGCCGCTTGACAGACCTCCGCCGCCTGCCGCCGTCAGACCTCCGCCGCCTGCCGCCGTCAGACCTCCGCTGCCTGCCGCTTGCCGGTCTTCGGTCGAACTCCGCCGCATGCATGCCTCCGTCAACCTCCTCCTAAGACTTCTGTCGACCTCCGCCATTGGCTAGTACTACTGAGACCTCTCCCACCAAAGATGACCTTCGTTTCCGATCCTCCAACGAACTCCGCCGTCACAACTTATTTGACGACACTAAGGCTGCCGTCGGTTCTCTGGCCACTATGGCCTTACAGCTGGTCCTCCGGCGACCCTTGTGCCCTCTGCCGCGAGTTCTCCGACAACTTTTGTCGCTGGTTTTATGTCAACCTCCGTCAATGGTCCTCCGACGACCTCCACCACTGGTCCTCCAGTGAGCTCCATCGCCAGTCCATCAACTACCTCCACCGTCATTACTCTAGTAATCTTCAATGAGGATGGACAATCACCCGGAAGTCACAATAAGAATGAAAAATAACACTAAGAATAGCAATATCAATAGCAAGAAAAATGACAATGTTGTACTCACAATGTCAATGACAATGTTGTACTCACAATCTTAATGACAATGTTATACTCACAATGTCAATGACAATGTTATACTCACAATGTCAATGTCAATACCAATGTTATACTCACAATGTCAATGACAATGTTATACTCACGATGAAAATGGCAATGTCAACGCAAATGACATTAAAATGACATTGTGGTAGTGTAAAAAATGACATTATGATCATTACCAAGGTCAATATTGAAATCAGAAAATTTCACAATGTCAACATTGAAATTAGAAATACTTTACAATGTCATATATTACAATTATAAACATTTCCAAAAAACAATGTTATAATATTGTTACTTTATTATCAATTTAAAAAACACAATGTCAATAACAATGTTATAGAAGAAATGACATTGTAACAAAGATATAAGGACAATGTCATTATTACAAAATGTCGGAATGTTAATATCATTTATCAACATTGTCATTAGGAATTGTGTGACAATGTTTATATCATTGTAAAACTATGTGACAGTACACATCAAAGTGTTACATTAACAATGACATTTGAATCAAATATTATATAAAAATATTTAATAGGAAAAAAGAGGTTAGAAGTCAATAAAAGAAATTAGATAAACAAATACAGAGTAGAATACCATTACACAAAACAAGAAAATGGAAAGGAACCAGGCGTGTGATAAATTGAAAACAATAAAAAATTAATAAGTTTCAAAAAAGCACATCACAAAGTAGCTGCCAGCGAACATTCCCTGATTTACCCAAGAGAAAAAAATCCCACATATATCTAAGAGAAGAAGAGAAAAGGTAGAAGAAGAAGAGAAGTAGAAGAAGAAAAGAAGAAGAAGAAAAGAGGAAGGAGGAGAGAGGAGAGAAGGCACCAGAGCATCTCACCACAGCCGCTGCGCCGCCGCGTCTTCTCTATTGAGCCGCCGGTGCCGCCGCTGGTGCTGCCGCCATGCTGTCGTGTCTTATCACATCGGCCCTACAACTCAACTTCTTTGTTTTGTATGGTGCTGGACCTTGAAGCTGCCAGCCTGGCTATGGAGGAAGGAGAGAGATAGGGGGGTTTGGAGAGATTGGATGTGGATGAGAATGAGGAATGTCGTGGAGCAAAAAATAATGTTAGGAAATAGGGGCAGTTTTGGAATAAAGTAAAATTGTAATCCTATTTAGGAGTAAAAAAAGTTGGAATCTTATTTAAGTAGATACGGAGATTTTAAGTCTTATTCAAGACCATTTCTCTTTGTAAAACCATTCATGTGTAATTCTTAGTACCGAAATCTTAAATAAGCTCTACCAAGGATTGCCAAACATTTGGTACTGAGTTTCCTCCTCCCTTTTAGTAACAAAATAATGCACAAGTAGTGAGGCTTCTAATTATAAAGAAATAATATGACACAAATTTTTTGTGTGTCAATCTGTTTTTCGTTTTGATTCTTTTACTAATATATGCAGTCTGTCTCATTTTGTTTGTCTTACTTTTTTTTAATTGTTCAGATATAAGTGTCACATTTCTTTTTTGGAAAGAAATATGTAATTCACAATATTTTACTCTATTATACTCAAATTTCAAGTAGGACTTTTACTTTTGAATCACTTTATTAATGATTGTGTCAATCTAAAACAAGACACATAAAATGAGATGAAAGTAGTACCATTTTGTATAAATGGTTAAGGGGGATATATGTTTCTCTTATATAAAGTCAAATGGTATATGTCCTCTCCTATATAGTTTAAGGATATGCTACTATATGCTACAAATTTAAAAATTGTGTATTTAATTGATTCAAAATGAAGTTGGGGGTATACTTTCTCACACACAAAATTTTATTTCTTTATTTTCAGCACCCCTAAAAAATTGTTATGGTTCCGCCACGGCTCCTTGCCTACACCAGACCCTGAACCACATCATTGAGAAACATATGGTTAAGATCATGATGTGATTTACTCCACTATTCTGTCGCATCGAGATATGGGAAACTTGGAGTGGACAATTCCACCTTTTCGGGTAGGGATGGACCGGTTCCGGTTCGGGCCCGGTTCGGGCCTGGGCCCGGCCGGGCCTCGGTTCATGAAGGGGAGGCCCGGAACCGGCCCGGGTAACCCCCGGGTCCGGGCCGGGCCTCGGTTCTATTTTTTTTTTTTTGGCTTTTCCTAGTTAACCCCCAACCCTCCCCCTCACCCCCAAACGAACCCTAACCACCTCAAATGGCCCAAAATACCCAGCCCAACCCAAAAGTTACTCAGCTCAAATGGCCCGAGTCCACTCCTATTTTCGGGGTTGGGATTGAGTTTTAACGAACTGGCCATAAAAAGTTACTCTGTAATTAATATCATGTCGTAGCAATATTTAGTAGGAAAATGTATAATGTTTCGTAATCAATAGCTAATGTATTGGTGCACATAAATATCTCTTAAGCATTACATTTAAACTAGTGTCAAACTTGAAAAGATTGTTACAATTTTAAATTCAAGAATGGGAGAACTAAAATTGATATGATATATTTTTGTATGTACTAACCCTAAATTTTTTAACATCATCAGATGTGAGGAAGGATGAGATTGACTACGTGCCCGGAGTTGGATCGATCTGGCCTAAGGATTTAATGTCATACATCCAAGAAACAAACACAACAACGGTGAGTCACCAAATGATTGAGACTGCCTTTGCTGATGCTAGAGACCATGCCGATTTTGTACTGTGCAACACTATTCAAGAACTAGAGCACCACACCATTGCTGCTCTCCAAGAAAACATGAAGTTTTTAGCGATAGGCCCCATCTCCCCGCCATCTTTCTCTTCAAATCCACAAGTCGCAACGAGCCTATTGTCAGAGTCTGATTGTGCCCAGTGGCTCAACTCCAAGCCACATGGCTCGGTTTTGTACGTCTCTTTCGGTAGCTATGCACATTTGTCTAAACATGAAATTCTTGAGATAGCATATGGACTATCACTTAGCCAGGAAAATTTCATTTGGGCGCTTCGACCCGATATGGTGAGTTCGAACGATTCAAATCCATTGCCAGGAGATATCAGAGAGGAGGTTAGGGATCATGGGCTGATCATACCGTGGTGCAATCAAAAGCAGGTTTTGACCCACCCGGCCGTGGGAGGTTTCTTAACTCACTGTGGTTGGAATTCAACTCTGGAAAGCATTTGGTGTGAGGTGCCATTACTTTGCTTCCCTCTCCTTACTGATCAATTCACTAACAGGAAACTGATTGTAGATGATTGGAAAATTGGGATGGATCTATGTGACAAGAAGCCAATCTCTAAATTGGAAATAGCAGAGAAAATCAAACAATTGATGGGTGGGAAATCAAGTGAAGAGCTAAGGAATGCAATGAAGAAAGTGAAGAAGACAATGGAAAATGCATTGAGCAAAAGTGGATCCTCTCAGAAAAATTTGGATCAATTAATCACGGATGTGTTGACCACTATTCATATTAGGGGTGGACACAGTTCTATTCTTTAATGAATTAGAATCCCACTTCTCGAACAAAAAAATTATTTCTAAGGTTTTGGTTACAATTCTATCACATGGTGGATTGGAGTCAATTGTTCTCATACCGAATTCAGAACTAGAACGGCTTGAAAACTACAGTGAAATAATCTCCCGACCAAAAACATAACTGGAACCATCAAACCTGAACTGGAATCTAGACCTCTTACAAGTCTCTAATCAAGGTTTTAGGTGGTAAGGAACCAGATGTATGTTTTTGTATTTGTTCATTATGAAATGGTTTAAGAGAAGCCTAAATGGCTAAATCTCACTCTTCCAATTGTTTAATTTGTGTACTGAAATTGTGCAAACCATTGAAGTTGTGTGCAGAAGAACTTGTCACTGTATTTTCTCATTTCTTGTATATATTTTCTTTCCCCTATCAAATTATGTTCAAAATGTAGCGAAAGCAACAAAATCCAAAGAACTAATGTTTAAAAAATCTATGATGATAGCCTTTACCAGAATGGGAGAAGTCTATGTACAGAGATGTTTTTCTTGACAAAAAAATGGAGTAAAATGAAAACAAGTACACGATATGCAAAAGCCATGACAAACAAGACTAGCGCATTTTCCCATTTTGCATGAGCGTCGTCAAATATGTTGTATACAGTCCTAAGAGCCTCAAAGCCGGATAACTTTTTCTCCGGCCCTACGGCAAACGATGTTCCTAGGTACTCATTCTCCAGAAGACCCTGAAAACGCAAAGATTGGATCTATGAGCCCGTTTGGTGGATGTAAAATGCACTGAAATGTCTGAAAGTTTATATTTAGCCATTGGGGTAAAATTCATGGCCTAGCTAGCACAGATTAATCCTAACCTGGGCAGCAGGCTCAAGTTGGATGTCCACTGTCCAGGTTTTTTTCCCCAAGCCTATGTATATAATTAATTAGCTTGTACAAGTAAACAAATATATATGTACATCCTGCTACCCGGGGGTAAGCCTGATATAATCTCAATACCAGATGCTATATTGATATGCGCCTAGTTCCTATTCTATCAGCTACCGAGGCTTAACCTTCGAAACAAAGGTTTTCATAAGTTATCTTTATAAGTACTTTTATTATGTTACCAGTTACCTAGCATAAGCTTCATCCGATAACAAACTTTTTAGCTTAATAATTATTGGGATAACATTTGACATATGCATAAGTTTTCATCTAGATTGACTCAGTTATGACTAAAAAATCTATGTTCACTGAAGTTCATCATGTTTACTAAAGTTCACTCTATCCGAACATAAAAAGTAGAGCATGGATTTCCAAACTTGCCTGGAGAGAGTAAGTATGAAATGTCAAATAGGACACAGGATACATCCATACCGGTCCTGGCAAATCACTCCGAATTCTATAATAACCAGCAGAAATCATCATGACCACCTGAAAGAAAAATACAATGCATATTACATGACCCAACAGAGTAACCCCAACACAATTATGAAGCACTATCAAGATATGATAATTCAAATGAACATGGGAAATTGTATAGCAGAAATAAAAACTCACATATGTTGACACCAAAGTTATTGTGGTCAAGAAGATGTCTTGCCAGATGGAAGCAAAAACCAAAACCATTCCTTCATTTACTAAGAGGCACATGAAGAAGTTGAACACAAAGTACATCAGCAGGTTGAACTCATCACGCAACCCGGTGATGAAATAAAAGATTAGACTTGATGAAATGGATATGAGAAACAGGAACGGAATGCTAGAGATAAGTTGTGCAAGCAAGAAAACGAAAGCCCCGGAATGCTGGTTTGAAACTTCACTCCTATATATCTGCACATTATCATTTATATAAAGAAAAAAATATAAAACAGAAGTTTAATTATGCTTAAGCCCAAATTACTCAAAAAACACGTTAAATCTTTTTAATGTTGTTAAGGTACAACTCTTATCAGTCGTGATTCGTGAATCATACTTATATTATCCCCGTTTATTTGTTTTGTTTAGCTAAATTTATCACTTTTAACTTGTTTGGCCTTTTTGGGAAAGTTAGATGAGAATGCAGCTTCATTTAACTTTTTTAACTTCTATTGGGAAAGGAGTAATTGTATGAACAGTAAATAAGAAATGTACTCCGAAACATCCATAACCACAAACATTACCTCAATTTCTTTTATCAGACAAGGTACAGCAGCTATGTTTAGAAGAGAAGACAATGATATGAACAAAAATATTGCTGCAACTCTTGTCTGCAATGACAATAAATAATGTAGTCATGTGTGCAGCAAAAGATGAAATATCAAAAATCTTAAGAACTAGAAGAATGTGTTACTTGTATATTTTTTCTTTTACAAAAGAGAATAATATTAAAGAATCAAGTTTCTTGGTTTATTAGCACATACATACCACAACAGATGACAAGGAATGTCCAAGTCCAGAGAATGCAGTGCCTATAGAGAGAGCTAGAAGAGTAAAGAGAAATAGCCTAAGCCAGTAATATTTCCACTCTCTTGACATTATCAATACAGATCTCCAAGTCAATATTACAATACGAGTTGCAGTACTCGCCCCTCCCTTTCTTTTAAGAAATGGGCCTTCCTGTGGCATCAAAAAGAGGGAAAAATGCATTTGAATAAATAAATAAAAAATAATGAAGGGCATTATTCTTCATAACGAAAATACCTTCTCAGTCAGCTTCACTATCATGCTTTCGGTAGAAGCAGCAGAATCTGAACTTTTATATGTTGCTTCAAGTGTTTGTATTGCAACAGCCGTGTCCAAGTTCACTGCAGACAAATCCGCATGCTCATCCTGTCCATTTCATTTATTCACATACATACTCAAACAAATCTTTCTTTTATATGGAATTTAAAATATAAATTACAAACCTGCCAATTTTTGCATGTTGATATAATCCTGTCAAAATCTGTGTTAATTGCTCGGAGAAAGTGGTCAGATGGACTTTGCATGATTGGGCAAGGAAATCCAGCATTGGAGAAGTGCTTCACAAATTATAATAAAAATATATAAGTACATAAATCAATCAATAAATAAAATGATAGGTTAGTCTATGACCATTTTCCATCCATCTAATACACTTATAAGGGTCCGCAGGAACTCAGACAAATGGTAGGGAAAGAAATCAGGCAGGCAAATAGATAGGAAATTTGAAAATTTGGAGGGTAATGAAATTCTAGGGAAAATAAATAAAAAGTTGCTTCAAAGCCCAAAGCCAATTTTAAGCATTTGTTGAAACTCATTTGATTTATATAAAGACTAAAAAATATTGGAATACCCAAACATAAATCCCATTCCCTTAGTTTTTCCTTTCCCTGCCATTCTCCTACTTTCAAACATATCCTAAAGAAAATTGTTAAAAGCATCATGCCAAGTAAGATGCAAGTGGTAGTCTCTTGTATCATAAATGGTGTTATGACATTTATTCCAATGCTTGTGATAAGAAAGAGATCTTCTTGATAGTCAAGATATACAAATCTAGGTGGGTTCCATTCTTGATTTCATACCTGCAAACAACCCAACGTTTCTCCAAAGAAGAGTGTATTTCCATTTGAAAGGAGACATATTCTATCAAAGAGACCAAACACTTCTGTACTGCTCTGGTGAAGGGTGAAAATTAGGGTGCATCCACTGCTTGTGAGCCTCTTCAGTGTCACCATCATTAAGAGTGCAGAAACACTTCACATAGTGACACAACAGAATTCAAGGAGAGAAAGATATGAGGTGGTCAGTAACAGTTAGGAGAATGCATTTTATGTTTCCATCACTTCATTCTTTGAATCAATAAAGATCATTATTCAATTGTAGAAATAACCCAGAAATAAATATTGTGATCACTAACAAATCAAGTAGAACCAGAGTTGATTGTACCTGTCAAGGTGATAAAGGGGCTCATCTATGAACATTACATGCGGTCTCATGACAAGCTCCCTGGCAATACTAATGCGCCTTTTCTCACCCATTGGGAGGCCCTTCATGCAATAGTGACCACCAATCAGTTTGTCACTGCAATCCCCCAGTGACATAGAAAGTATTGCATCCTCCACCACATCCTTTGTCTGCCAAAAGAAACCCGGGATTTGAAGCCATGCTGCGTAGTAGAGGAACTCACGAACTGTCAAAGATCCTATAAGAGTTGTTTCTCTCTCAACAAATCCCTGTTATGAGCTAAAAAGGTCATTGAGATACATTGAGCAGCAGAACATGGAATGTAAAGATAATTCCTGCAATTACATCAGGGTCGATTTGGACCACAAAATCTTGGGAAAGAAAACTGTCAGGAATATAGAGAAGAAACTTGGAAGAAAATATAATTTGGCAGAAAAAAATATGCTTCAAACTCGACAAATGAACTTTAGATATTTGTTTAAAAGTAACTTTAATCATATTTCTACTATATAAAGACTGAAAAATAATAAAAAACTCTGCATGTAATAATTAAAAGGTTTAAATCAAATCCAATTTTCATTCCAATTTTCCAAGGCAAAACAAAACATTAAAAAAATCAAAATAAAATATGCTTATCATTTTCTGCACTCCAAACATAGCCATACATGCATTGAGAATTTGAATTTGAAAAGAAAACATGGATGGTGTTCACTATAACTGAGAATGATGCTCAGATAATCATTATCAGCACCATAGGGCATGTTTGGGTCGAGAAAAATGCAATGGAATGGGGAAGAAATGTCAAGTTAAGTTATTTCCTTAGGTTCTACCTCAGAGGGTGCAAAGGAAAATAAAACATGATTAATAGATTTTTATCATATACTTAAATTCATTAGTCTTTATGTAATATACATATACACAAATAAATAAAATGAGTATCAACAAATATCTATAATAATTAATATATTCATCAAATTTATCTAATAATAAAAAGAACTAGAAGTTCTATTATAACAATAAAAACCCTCCGTTAGGGACCACAAAAAACCGGACTTACATAGGATCCATAGGGAATGTATGACTTTATTCCATTTACAAAAACCTCACCATACATTCTGGCTGAATCAGGCAACCTACCTAAAGTAAATGGATAAAAATTGTTTCAGGTTCCATATGTGAGGAATACTCCAATAATCACTTGAAACAAATACTAGTACAATATAATACGATACAAACCTGCAAGAGATCTCAAAAGTGTTGATTTCCCCGACTTGGCGGGACCCATGATGACAGTCATAGTTCCAGGCAATGCATAACCACTTGAACTCTTGATCACCTTATCAGAATATGTCCTCTTCCCCTTAATACTCACTGTCAAGTCTTTCCAAACAACCGAAGCACCAGAAACCGTCCTCTTCACTTGTGTCAATGACCCGATACTCAGTTTTGAAAGGAATGGGGAGATTGGAGTTGAAGTAACATTGACAGATTCCCCCCCACCATCAACTTTAACCTCAATATCATCAGTGTCATCCCACTGAGGTGAGTCTATGAAGGAGATTGGTAGCCTATTCGAACCGGGCCTTCTCAAGTAAAAGAAACTACTAGTTGGTGGTACCCGGTTTGAGGGGCTACTTGCTGAAGATGATGATGATCTGTAATTATCAATTTGAGACTGTATTTCTTCCATCTTTCAAGATTCAGTAACGATCACCACTGTATAAATTTCTAGATAATAAACCCTTAGTGAGTCAGAAGAAGCACAAACTTAAATCCTCCACAACATTTTCATATAGTAAAGAAGGTTCAAAGCTAAAATACACTAAGGCCTTGATTGGTAGCACTCATCGGCCAATTTGACTTGTTTTGATTTACTTATTTGGGTAAAATCAGCTTTACAAAACGCTTTTCCTTTCTGAAGATTCAGCAATTTCAGCCTAACAGCACTTACCAAACGGGCACTAAACAACCTTAATCAAGTAGCAAACTTTAGCAGCAAATTAAAACGCATTTTACAGAAAATAACGGGGCCATATATATGAGTCAAACATGTATATGGACCTGATTCAGCCATTTGAGCCAAACAACTCTTGCCAAACGGGCGCTATCAACCTAAATCAAGTAGCGAATTTTAGCAGCAAAACGCATTTTACGGAAAATCATGGGACCATGTACATGATCGGATTCTTCTACTACGTACTGTTCAACAGAATCGTCCATTTGTGTCAAACAACCCTTACCAAATGGATAACAAACCACTCAAATCATGCAGTAAATTTTAGCAGCAAAACACATTTTACACAAGATCATGGGACTACACATAAAGATCTCATTTTTACGTTCACATTCAAGAATAAATTTGTTTTATGCTAGAACCAAAAATCCGGAGAGCATTACCAGAAACGAGTAACAAGCAAGAAAGCATTAAGAGGGTGATTCAGATACCCATGAAAAAGGAAATGAACTTACCAAATAAACGTCGAGAACTCGAGTTTCTAGCTGGGTGCGGATAGAGAAAACGCGCAGTCTTTGAAGGGAAAAAACGGAAAATATCAGAAGAGAGTAGCTTTGTATGTTAACGTGAAAAGAAGAGAAGAGAGCAGAAAGGTGAAAGAAGGCTGGTGTGCTCTGGCTCAAGGGTGAGAGAGAAAGAGACTGAGACAGAGTATGGAGTGACGGGAAAGAAAATGGGTCTCCGCGCCCGAGAAATTCCTCAAGACCCGCTTTTTCCGCTTCTCGGTTCTCCATCTTCTTTCAATCTTTCCACCTTTTTAGCTACAATTTGAATTCGACGCTTTTGTGAGGGAAATTTTAGTTTTCAACTTGCCCAAAAGCACAGTATATTATACTATGTGATTCTCTATTTCTTTTGACCTTTAGACTATAATATTTTGGTACCAAGTTTAAGGATAAAATAATAAAATGTAGGCGTGAAAAATATGGAGTAATACAGAAAAAAGGAAGTAGTCTCTGTCATCATACAAATCTCCTACTTATATAAAGTGTCACCTGGACGGCAAATCAGGTGATTTGCCGTTAAGTCTGTCTGTCTCTGTGTTCCTGTATTCTCAGCCTACTCTTCTTCCGTCAGTCTTATTGTTGAGTTGAAGCAGGTGATGCGTGTGTCGTTGTTCTTGCGCCACGCCCTTTGTGTACGTGTTCTTTTACTGTCCAACCGATGCTCAACCGACTTATGACCTTCATTCCAACCCTAGCTTCTAAACGTAGTATTTTAATCCGAATGAGTAAATGCATTAATTAAAGCCTTAAAGGTGTTTCACTGAAGCAGGACTGTGAGTTTGGATGTAAGCTCAAGTCAGATTCGTTAATGAACTTTAGTGATGATTTGTAATCTTATGGGCCAAAATAAACAAATGAAAATAAAGTAGAAAGAATGTTCTGGTTCCGTGGAGGGAGCAGAGGAGAGGAAAAATGGGTTTCATGAATTAGTTTACTACACTGGGAGTTCGTTAATTTGCTTTCCGTATAAGTAGGAGATATAAACTTTGCTATCTTTTCTTTATGATATCTTCTGTGAGGGTTGAATGTAATTGTTATAGTATTTTGTTTATTAGCATGATTTGTCTTGGGTAAATGTTACCTCACCATGTCCATTCTGTGGTGAAGCCTTTCTGTGATGGAGCTTGTTGTGTTTTGTGGTGTATTTTACCGAATCTGTTTCACTGACTAATTGTATTTGATTATCACTGTAACAGTTTTGCATCTTGTTGCCCTCGTTTTTGAATTGCATTGCTCCTGAGTTGCTTCAACTGGTTAGTACTCTTTATACTCTTTATACAAACTTTATGTGTATATCTAAGGAACAAAGAAGGAAGTTAAATGAAAAGAATTTGGTTAAAACCAAGGCTCACAACTGTTATATCATAGGCCTAAAGTAAAATTCATTACAGACCAGATGGCCGTCTCAGCGAGTAAATACATTAGCATCTATACACTCTTGTTTGTTAAAATACGTATGGGTACGTTCGTCTCATTTATGGGGACTCCATAAAATACTTATGGGCGCGAGAAATCCAGACTCCATTAAAATACTTATGGAGACATTCGTCTCATATACCCAACACAAGTCCCCTCGTGAGTACGCTCTTCCCGGTTGGCTTGGACTATGGGGACGTTCATCCAAAAAATAACGGCCGTCCTCTATCGCCTATCGTCCTCTGGACCTTGAGCTATGGGGATGTTCATTCCGGTTGGCTTGGGCTATGGGGACGTTCGTCCCATAAACAACGGCGGTCCTCTGTCGCCCATCGTCATCTGGGCCTTGGGCTATGGGGACGTTTGTCTCATTTACACAACACAAGTCCCGAGGTGAGGACGCTCTTCCCGGTTGGCTTGGCCTATGGGGACGTTCGTCCCAAAAACAACGGCCGTCCTCTGTCGCCTATCGTCCTCTAGGCCTTGGGCTATAGGAACGTTTGTCTCGGGTGGCTTGGGCTATGGGGACGTTCGTCTCATAGACAACCGCCGTCCTCTGTCGCCTACCATCCTCTGAGCCTTGGGCTATGGAGATGTTCATCTCATTTACCCAACACAAGCCCCCCGGTGAGGACGCTCTTACCGGTTGGCTTGGGCTATGGGGACATCCGCCTTGGTTGGCTTGGCTTATGGGGACATTCGTCTAGGTTGGCTTGGGCTATGGAGATGTTTGTCCCAAAAACAACGGCCGTCATCTGTCGCATATCATCCTTTGGGCCTTGGGCTATGGGGACGTTCGTCCGGGTTGGTTTGGGGTATGGGTACGTTTGTCCCATACACATCGTAGTGACACCTACCAAGGGCTTATTGATAGTTTACAAGCGGGACTTTAAAACACAAGTAACTTTACAGGTCACACCTTCTGCACATGAACACGCATAAATCTCCTATCTAATAGCAGTACACACACACACAAACACCCACAATTTAGGCAATGTGTGTTCCTTAATTCACAAGTTTAACAATTGACTGTTCTTATGAAATTTCTTTAAGAATATGAA